GACTGGGTATGTAGGTCAGTGGTTAAGTGCCCCTGAATTCAACCCCCAGTATAAAAAAAAAAAAAAAAAAAAACAAAAACAAAAAAACCTCTGTTAAGTTATATTTGCACTTCAATTTAAGTACATAAACACACATCGTATGCTTGCAATGGGAGAGTTAATATTCAGGGTGACCCTTTCAAACATTTTTAAATATTCCATTTTATTTATTTAAAAATTTGATTTGAGAGGCTGGGGCTGTAGCTCAGTGGCAGAGCACTTGCCTAGCACATGTGAGGCACTGGCCACTGAGCACCACATGAAAAGAAATAAAATACAGGTATGCTGTCCATCTACAACTACAAAAAAAATTTTTTAAAGACTTGATTTTTTTTTTTTTTTTTTTTTTAGTTTTAGGTGGACATTCTATCTTTATATTTATGTGGTGGTGAGGCTCGAACCCATTCCTCATACATGCTAGGCGGGCACTCTACCATTGAGCCACAACCCCAGCCCCTAAAAAGACTTGATTTGATTGGGAAGTTTTATTCAACTTGAGTACATCTTTATTTGGAATTTCTCCAAATTGAAGATTTTATCGTATAAGACATTAAAAAGGAATGAGATTTTGATCAAGTGTATTAAGGGCATAGAAACACTACTGTGCAAAACAGCTAATTCTGTGCTTTTTGATTGATAGTTCATTGCTATTTTTAATGAACCTTAATTCTTAGTAATGAATCGTTTGTTTAGGTAAATGAAGATGAGGAAAACCAAGACACAGAAAAAAAATTTCAAGTATACCGTCCTGGTAAACTCAAACTCAGTTTTGAAGAAATGGAAAGGCAAAGGAGAGAAGATGAAAAAAGGAAAGCAGAAGAAGAAGCCCGTAGGAGAATAGAGGAAGAAAAGAAGGCATTTGCTGAAGCACGAAGAAGCATGGTAAGACGGAATCTAATTGGAAAATGCCATTAGCATTCAGCTTTTAGAGCATGTTAAACAGAAATCATCATACTTTGGGGAGTATCCTGTTTTTTTCTGGAATTGGTGCCAAGAGTAGAAATGGAAAATATGTTTTTTTTTCTTTAGTTGTCAATGGGCCTTTATTTTACTTATTTATATGTGGTGCTGAAACTCAAACCCACTGCCTCACATATGTTAGGCAAGAGCTCTACCACTGAGCTACAACCCCAGTCCTGGCAAATAGGTTTTAAAGTCTTTCATGAAATAATATCAGTCAATTGAAATTATTTACTTGAATTTACTTTTKAGAAGGTTCTGTTTAATTACCATGCCTGGTATAAAGGACTGAAAAGTACCTTCCTAAGGAAGAAGCAGGGAGTCTCCTCCCTACCCTTCCTCCTCCTTTCTCTCTATTCCCTCCTCCTTTTTCCATACTACCTCTGTCCCTCCTTCATTCATTTTTTTAATTTTAGTTTTCCTCCTATCCAATATATATTAAATGACTGTAATCATTTTAATCAGTTATTTAACTTTTCCAAATTGCTCACCCATCACTTGGGATATTGTGACCTGTCACAAAATTGGTATTTTTCAATTGTAAAATTGTATGGTTATATGACAAACTATTTTCAAACAATTTGACACATGACTACACCCCCTTCTTGAAATATTTTAGTTGGCTTTAGTGATGTAATAACTTGGTTTTTTTTCTCCAGTTGAGTTTCAAGCATATTTGTCTAGGTGTCCATTTGGTGTAATCACCCACCCAGATGCTCAAATCAGAAACTTGAAAGACTAAAAACATTTATATCTTTTCATGCCTGAAATCCAGTCAGTCACTAAGTCTCATTTATTCTATCTTCTCAATTACTCTAAAATCTGTTAGCTTTCCCTTTGCAATTACTGTAATTTGGGTTATTGTTATTCCTTGCTTAGGACCAATTCCTTATTTACTTTCTTTCTTACCTTTAATCCAATCTTTCCTATAATGCTAGGAACAGTGTTTTTTTTTTTCTCTTCCCTGTCCTTGTTGTCCTCCTTCTCCTGCTCCCCCTCTTCTTTTGCAGTGTTGGCTGAATGAAGGGTCTTGTGCCTCCTAGGCAAGTGATCTACCACTGAGTTACACCCCTTAATCCATGGAGTGATCTTTTTTATTTTTTTAAATTTTTTAAAATTGTTGATAGATCTTTATTTATTTATTTATGTGTAGTGCTGAGAATCGAACCCAGTGCCTCACACATGCCAGGCAAGTGCGCTACTACTGAGCCCCAGGCCCATGGCATAATCTTTCTGTTAAAAAAAAAAAAAAAAAAGCCAAGCATGCTGGTGCTGATTTGTAATCCCAGTTACTCAGGMGGCTGAAGCAGAAGGATCAAAAGATCACAATTTAGGGAGACCCTGTCACTAAATCAAAAATAGGGGCTATAGTTCGTTCAGCAGTAAAGCACCCATRGGTTCAATCGTAGTACTTGGGTACTTTTGCTTAAAATTTTTCTACTTCCCAAAGCAAAAATACCAAAACTTTAWATAAATATATATTTATTTATAATCTTATTCTTATATATCTCTCCAGTTTCATTTCTTGATCTATCTTAATCTTCCATCTTTGTTCTAGTTATACTAAATTTCATTCATTTCTTCCAAGTGAGAACCACTAGGCTTTCACAAATACTGTCTGAAACATGTCCCTTTCTCCTTTCTCTATGCTCTGCTATTTCCTATTTATAACCTTCCATTGCCTTTAAGAAGCCTTTCCTGATAATAAACACTTTCTATGTATTCCTATGGCAATTAATACTCCCCTAAAATAGCACTAATACGTATTATTATATAAGGCTGTATCTCACAGTGAGGATGAGACTATCCATCAGATATGTGGCACAGTGCCTAGCATAACAGACTTTCAATAAATGGATTTTTGCTTTCTTTTGGTACTGTGGATTGAACCCAGGGATACTTTGCCACTGAACTGCATTTTGAGACAAGGTCTCACTAAATGGCTTCAGGCCTTGCTAAATTGCTGAGGCTGGCCTTGAATTCACAATCCTCCTGCCTCAACCTCCCAAATTGCTGGGATTATAAGCATGTATTACTGTGCCTGACCCAATAAATGTTTTAAATATCAGTGATATTGAAATGATCTTGTGTGCATCAGATAATCCCTAATTAACAAATGGTTTCTACATAGAGAATACACATGGTAAAAGCACTTAATTTTTGGATAATAAGCAGGTTGAGATGTACTAGTGAAGYATGAAGATCAGTAGACCTAGTCAAGGAGGTGTTTTTTTTAGGCCTAAACTGTCTTTTAACCATGATTTACTAATAGAAAAAGTTCAGGGAAGGAAAAGAGGCATGAAACCAAAACAAAGTTTCCTAGAGACATTTTTGAATTGAGAGACAAATTTCTTCATTAGTGTTTCTTATTCAGGATCAAATATTGTAATTGCATGCTATGATTCAGTTCATTCATACATTAAATAAAAAATTGGGGGCAATATTTGGATTTTGAAACCATTTAAACATTGTTTGAGAGTTGGATTAGTTCTGTGGTAAAGTTTGGGTGTAAAGCCTTGATAAAATTTAGATCAAATAAATGAGCCTCTCTCATTCTCTTATGTCTATTTTTATTGGTGCATTATAATTATACATAACAGTGGGATTTGTTATAATAAATTCATACAAGCACACAATAAAACAGTATGATTTGATAAATCTCATTTTCCAGTACCTCTCCTTTCCTTCTCCTCCCTCCCCAATTCCCTTCTTCTACTGGTCTCCCTTCTATTTTTTTTTTTTATTTGTTCTAATTATTTTTACGTCCTGTAACTATTTCAATCACAGAGACAGAGTTCAGATCAGTGGTGTATATATATGCCATCGGGTGACAGAAAAAACACACTTAGATAATTCTTTTTCATAGTAAAATATATTCCAAGTTAACAAAAGCAAACTTTCTATTTGCAATTTAGAATTGCCTTATATAGGGAATGATAATGTAAGAATAAAACTACCATGATGTTAGTTAGATTCACAGCTGTTTCCAAACTTTATTTAGTCYTCATGACACCTATATGAAAGTTGTCACAGATAATGAAACTCAGAGAGGATAGGTTCTTGCCCAAGGTCACAGCCAAATGGCAGGTATTTATTTAAACTACTAATTTAATTAATTACCCAGGTAAATTCATGAAATTACAAAAAGGGTAGTGTAAGTTATTTATAATCTTATTAGAAATTTTTTGAAGTTTGAATTCCAGCTTTRTCACTTTATATTTATTGTAACTTTGCACAAGTTACTTTTCAGTGCCTCCGTTTCTTCATCTGTAAAATGAAGATATTAATAATAGCTTTTATAAGGTTGCAGTGTTAAATAAATAAGTCATCACATGTAAAGTGCCTAACTGGCAGCTCTAAGTATTAACTATTATTATTTCTTTAAAGTTAACCTGGCAGTTAATAAATCAATACAATAAAATTATAGCATTAAGAGTTTTCTCCCCTGATTATGAGGAGCTCATGATGGGTTGGTTAACTAATTCACTCAGAGAAGACTATAACTGAAATTTTCTATTTGATTCATTCTACTACTGGGGACTGAAGCCATGGATGCTTTTCACCTAGCATACATGAGGCAATGGGTTCAAACCTCAGAACCACATAAAAATGAAATAAAGATATTGTGTCCACCTACAACTAAAAAATAACTATTTTTAAAAGTGTCATATTAATATCAAATCCAAATTTCTCATAGTATAAATAAAGGAAAATTAYTGTGTTCACTGGGAGAATAGAAGGTTATCAGTTTAGTTTCTTCATAACCACAAAATACCTGTCTTTGATTTTCTAAATATTTCTCCCTTGTTTATTGTGTTAAAGTTTTTTGAAGAGAATTTATGATCTCCTGTTTTTTTTTTCTTCTTGTTGTTGTTGTAGATGGACACACTGCCTTTATTTTATTTATTTATGTGTGCTAGGCAAGTGCTACAACCCCAGTCCCAATCTCCTTTTTTTTTTCTTTTTTTTTTCAAGTTCAATGTGAAACCTTTCTGTTCAAGTAATCCCAATTTCTACAAGAAATATTCCCTTTTTAGCCTATATAATTCTGGAAAACTTAACAAAGGAATTATTTCAAATAGGTAGTAGATGATGACTCCTCAGAAATATATAAAACATTCTCTCAAGAATCTCTTACACCGGGAAAACTGGAAATAAATTTTGAGGAATTATTAAAACAAAAAATGGAAGAAGAAAAACGGCGAACAGAGGAGGAACGGAAGCATAAACTAGAAATGGAGAAACAGGAATTTGAACAACTGAGACAAGAAATGGGAGAGGTAAGATTTTAAGAAACATCTATATACTATTTATACTTAGGTATATTACTTATATTACCTTATAGGAAGTAGCCTTATATTATTCACATAAAGGATACTCAACAAACTTCTATGGGGCATATATGTGGTACAGGCTTCAGCAGTTATATGTACTTTTGGTCTGCTGTAACTCCCTCCTTGCTAGTTTAAATGTATATCTATATCTATCTATATGATACAGTGATGAAGAGAAGCACTATAGTTCCTTAAGTAAAAAATTTTCCTACATAGCCCAAAATTATCTGGGTACACCATGATTGTGAACTATTGTTCTAAAGTACTATATTTAATATATTATTTTATATTATTTTTCCTTGAAACAAATAGCATACTAATAAATTTAATAGAAAAACTACAGGACCATGGATACTATTAGGGCCATCAGTTTCACTAAGTGTATTTTTATTTTTTGATGCTGGGCATTGAATTGAGGAGCTCATACAAAACATATTCTCTTTGACTGAGATACATCCCCAGCCCTACTGGCATGTATTTGAATCATTTTGTTTTACTAAATTATTCTAAAATGGAACTGTGATGTTAAATATGTTAGTATGGTCTTTCTAGTGTTGAAATTAAATTTTTAGTGGGGTACCAGGGATTGAACGCAGGGGCACTCAACCACTGAGCCACATCCCCAGCCCGATTTTGTATTTTATTCACCGAGGTGCTTAGCACCTCACTGTTGCTGAGGCTGGTTTGAACTCTTGATCCTCCTGCCTCAGCCTCCTGAGCCACTAGGATTACTGGTATGTACCACAGCTCCTAATTTTAAAAATATATGTATATATTATACACAGGGACAGTTTTATGGGATGCAACTTGTGTACTCACAGGATCCCATGTTCCAAATACTTCAYATGATTCAATGCTCTAAGATTGCCATATTGAAAAATCTTAATTTTTATCTTCGAAATTGTGTTGATTGGACAATGAAATGTGTGCTAGGGCATTGGCACTTTGGCTTACCCATGCTTCCTGCTGTCTCCCTATCACACTGGAATGGTCTCTCAGAAGCCTCCTTCCCAAGCTTTGTCTAACCTTCCCCGTGCCTGGCTACTGTCATACTCAGTGTGGGTGGGTCAGGTTGCTTAGGTGGCAGAAGGCAAGAGAAGAGAAGGCCCCTGGATGTGTCAGGCCATGTTTGAAAAGGGGTAAGGTGACCATTGACTGTCGTAGTCTTTGATTGACAATGCCATGGCATGATTGGCAGATGACTTAGTGGCATCCTCTCATCAACTTCTGATCGAAGAACTGAATCTCTACACAGAGGTTGTAGTCTCCTGGACGTTGCCTGTTTGTCACAGGTTRGGGCAGTAGGTTTTGAGAAGCTTTACTCCTCTGCTTTGGCTGTAGCTCAGCAAATTATATAGCTGGCTCTGAGAATATAAATACCATATAAATAGAAATTATGATTAAAATACCATGAATATGATGTAGGAAATTCTTTCCCTCAGCCTTTCTCTCACTTCTCCCAAAACTTAGTAGCAATTATTTAATGAAGAAAGCTGAAAATAGTCTAGGAGAACTTAGTATTTAATGGAGCTATAGTTATTAATACATGGAAAATTAATGGTCAGACATTCTAATGCTATCAAATTACTATACCCTATTATGTCCAGGAGTTTTGTTATTTGTTTTTGCAATGTTGGGAATGGGATTGTCCCAGGATTTGCACAAGCTAGGCAAGTGTTCTACATTCTCAGCCCTTTGTTTTAGACAGGGTCTCACTATAAATTGCTTAGGCTGGCCTCAAATTTGTGATCCTCCTGCCTCATCCTCTGGAGTTACTGGGATTATAGGCATGTGCCACTACGTCTGGCACTCTGGAGTTTTAAGAAAATCATGCCCAGTGGGGTAAGCAAGAAGGCAAAAAGCCTAAACCAAATTCATAGCTGATTTCTAGCCCAATGTTGTTTCAGTTCTATTTTTTGCCTTCCCCTAAACAATCTTCTTATAATTCCTAGTAAAAATTAATCTTGCCATTCATATGTTAGTTTTAGCATGTTAATGTGGAATATTAGAGGCGTTTAGTTATATTCCCTGACAAATATATTTTACATGGAATAAAATGTTTTCTAAATATATAGTGCCACTTTAAGTAAATTTGGACATTGTGTTGAAGAAACAGCTAATTTAAGCTTTATTTTTTATTTCAAATAAGAAATTATGCAAACTAGAGGTCCCCTATCTTGTCTGAATTTTTCCTTTTTTTGGCCAGTCATCATCTGAAAACATTAAATTCCAGAAATAAGCAATTCACAAGTTTTACACTCTGCAACATTCTATATAGTGCAATGTAATCTGTCACTGACCCACTCCATCCTGCCTGGAACAGGAATCATCAAATTGTCCAGCAATCCTTGTGATATGATTTGTAGTCTCCTCTAATATCAGATTGACTATCACATGACAGCAGTGCTTGCTTACATAATAATAGGTCCAAAACACAAGAGTAGTGATGATSGMAATTTGGATATGCCAGAGAAGCTGTAAATAGCTTCCTTTAAGTGAAAAAGTAAAAGTTTTTGACTTAATGAGAAAAAGATTTGTTTGCTGAAATTGCTAAGAATGAATAAGAAAAAAAMCATACATATAGGATTCAGTACTATTTGTGGCTTCAGATATCTCCTGGGCATCTTGGTACATATCCTTGCAGATAGGTGGGGGAACAACTATAATTTGCTGGTATTCAACATATAAAATTTATTTTTTCTGAAGGAAGAAGAAGAAAATGAAACCTTTGGAATGAGCAGAGAATATGAAGAATTAATCAAATTAAAAAGAAGTGGTTCTATTCAAGCTAAAAACCTAAAAAGCAAGTTTGAAAAAATTGGGCAGTTGTCTGAAAAAGAAATACAGAAAAAAATAGAAGAAGAACGAGCAAGGAGGAGAGCAATTGACCTTGAAATTAAAGAGMGAGAAGCAGAAAATTTCCACGAGGTATATACTTTTATATTTAACAGTTATGGTACAATAATGATAATGAATTTAACAGATACAACACTGCCTCTGAAATAAGTTTTAGTACTTAAAAAAAGGACTTACAACTAACCACTGACATATATAATAATCTGGAAACAAAATAGCAAAAGCACATTAAGATCTAGCATTGTTTCAGAATGGCCTTTCTCAGTATTTAAACCAATAGAGATCAACTAGTTTAATCTAAGCAAAAGTGGTTAAAAAATATTGGTGTGTTTTAGTTCAATTAGTATAACCCAGTTTATTCAAGTTAAACCCCAGAGATTATCCATATTARCATTCATGTTTTATAGATGAAGCTATAAAGCCATATGATATGATCAAAGTCACAGCATAATTCAGTGGAAGAGCCTTTATTAGAATTCTGAGGACATGAAATTGAGGTATCTTCATACATAAAATAAGGAGTCAAATCATTGACCTGTAATGTCCCTTCCTATTTCAGACTCTTCCATAAATGTGCATTAAAAYAGAATCTAGACTTTTTTCCTGCCAGAATTCTATAATATTTAAATTTTATGCCTAAAAATACATTTTCAAATATTCAAGTAGCAAACAGGTATGGGAAGTTGGGAGGGTCTTTAGAAGAGATTTAAGGATGGAATGAAATTATGTGTTAATTACTGAAACTATAACAATTATCAAGGCAGGCATAGAATGAAGACAATGAAGATGCAAGCACAGGTGAGATGAACATGTATTTTTTCTTAAACTGGGGATTGAGCCCAGGGGTGCTATACACTAAGCTACATTATCAACTCTTATTATTTCCAGTGTCTTGCCAAAATTGTTGAGTGTGGTCTCAAACTTGTAATCCTTTGCCTCAGCCTTGGATTGCTGGGATTACAGGTGTGCATCACTGTACCTGGCTCATGTAGATGCCATGTGAGCTGGGCATGATGGCCAAGCAGGAGGTGGCTGAGGCAGGAGGATCCTAAGTTCAAAGCCAGCCTCAACAACTTAGGGAGGACAATTTAGCAAAACTCTTTGTCTCAAAAAATAAGGGTTGGGGATGTGTGATTCAAAGCCACCTAAAGGGATTTTTAAAACATGGAGTTAACACCAGACATTCTTTTAGGTACATAATGTTGAAATTAAAGGTGGGCTTGGATATAGGCATTAAAAATAGAGTGCCCGATGTTTCAGGATCTGCTGTAGACACTGGTACTACCTTAGCGACTAAACTTGTCATTTCTTTTCATGTRTCACTTAGAGACAGAGGTGAAGATGGCAAACAATTACTGAATGCTGGCAAATAAAAGCTTGAGGTTAATGAAGTAGGGGTAAGGGAAATAAATTTGTAACCACCACTCCTAATGTGGGACCCTGAGTTGTTTTAGGGAAAGTGTGCAAGCCAAATGAGATGTGACTGTGCTTTAATAGGTTTTATATTTAGTGTTATGGGACCAAATTGGAAGGACTGATGTCTAGGAGAGGCTTAACAGCGCTGAGCAAACATTCACACCAAATGAAAAGGTTGCATAAAAGTTGCAGATAAGGACACTCCAGATTGAGGAAACAATGACTCAACAGAGACCATAAATAAAATTTGGGGAGTGGAAAATAGGGCTATAATGCAAGGTTAATAGAATAATGGGTGACAGGTTACAAACCTGTAAAAGCAGATTATGGGTAGTGTAAATGCCTTTTTAAACTTACATCAACTATTTTCTGGGAAATGTTAATAAACAAATTTTTAGGACAGTAAAAGACTGTTTATGAAAGAATTCTGAGATCATGATGGATGAACTGGAAAATATGTACAAAGGCATTAAGTTTGGGCCAGGGGAGAAAAGTAGATCAAACTTGAAACAAAACTATTGCTTTTAGGGAAGGTGGTTACTGAGGAGCCTAATATTACACTGATTACCAATAAAACCAGACATTGCTAGAGAAATCAGTTCTGATGAGGCAAKATGAATAAATTGTTTCGAATAAGGTAAAGGCAGTCTGAAAAACTTAGGTAAATGGGAAGGTCTAATGTACTGTTAACTTTGCTGAAGGGAGTAGATTAAAGCCATTTGAAAATAACAGTATGAAGTGAATCTATCACAGAAGATAAAGTCAAATCAACATGTACTTGCTTCCTTTGAGTTACTAGCAAGAATAAAACCTGAGCAATCCCGTGTATCCCTACAAAATATGCAGGCAAGATAAAAATAATGTAGGTGACTTCTTGTTTCATTGCTATTATTGGATCTTCAATGTGAGATTAGGACAGGATGGAATTCAATACATCAGGATGTTCTGAATGGTGTTTCCTGCAAAGGACATGGAAGTCCCTCCAATCATACTTTCCTGAATCAAAGATCATTGAGGTAGCCTTTAAAAATCTACTAGCATAATTTTGGTAGAATGCAATTAAAAGCGAGGACCCTTGTTATAGCAATCCCTTTTCCAAATCTGATCATTTGACTAGTTTCTCTCCTTTAGAAAATGTTCAACATCTTTCAAAGTCTCATTCATGTGTACTTCCCCAAAGAATTCCATTCCAGCTCCTGTAGCAAGCACTTCCTCTGTATCACTCTTTGGTATTTAAACCAACTGAACACCTACCTTAGCCTTATCTGACTTCGTAATTAAAGTATCCCAAGGCAAATGCATTGCTTAACTGTGCTGAAGGTGTCAGTGCCCTATAAATAATGTACCTAGATAAGTATTCATTCCATTCACAGGATACAGGTTTTTCCCAGAAACCTGAACCTTGCTTTTCAGGGATCCAAGAAGAGATGACATTGTATTTAAGTGAATGTTCATTCACTTTCTCCCAGTTAGCTTATGAGAAATTTTTACTTGTTCAAACTTATAGAAAACCCTGTTGATAACATACCTTTTAACCTAATAATAAAACTGGATTCAAACACAGAAAAACTACTCATTTTTCTTTTACTTCCTACTCCCCCATTAGAACAAGGTTGCAACACCTTAAACTGATATAAAAATGTCTTCACAAATTCTTTAGCTGGCTATGGGTACCCTGAAACAACTACCCACAGTATTATTAAATGGTTTTCAGATAGACCCACAAATGCCTAGAAATCAAGAGTCAACTACTATAGTACTTTAGAAAGTATGGATTAACTGAACCCCACTCTATAAGACCACCCTCAAGTGACATCACTATCAAATTGGCCCTTTCCTAGACTCATACTGATACTGCTCTTAAATCACTAATTATACCCATTTCTTCCAACACTTAGCCTTACACAGATGCACATTTGACCTTAATCCCTTCTTTATGCTACATATACTGTCGCTTAACAGTTTCCCATTTCTACTTCTAACACCTTTCTCTACCATTTGACCAGGATTTGGATGGAATTCATCTCTAGGATACAGGACTAAGATGGGTAAAGAAGGAAAAATCAAACAAGAAATAACGTAAATTATATTCTTTAYTATAGGATGGGAGACTTGCGTGGGAAAGGAAGTTTCACTAATCGTGAAAAGTGTAGCACTATATTATGACCTTTTTTTGTATTATTCAGTAACATCAAAAACAAGCCAGATGGGGCTGGAGATGTGGCTCAATGGTAGAGTGCTCGCCTGGCATGCGTGCGGCCCAGGTTCRATCCTCAGCACCACATACAAACAGGGATGTTGTGTCCTCCGATAACTAAAAAATAAAATATTAAAATTCTCTCTCCCTCTCTCTTAAAAAAAAAAAAAAGCCAGAATTGGTTGGGCAAAATAGGCTAGCATTCCAGTAATATTGTGTGATCTTTACACTGKGAGAACAGGATCATAATTAAGAATGCTTTGCTGGGCATGGTGGTAAATGCCTGTAAACCCAGTGGCTTGGGAGGGTGAGGCATGAGGATAGCAAGTTTGAGGCCAGTCTCAGCAATTTAGTGAGACCCAAACTCAAAAAATAAAAAGGGGTGGGGGGAGTATAGCTCAGTGGTAAAGCACCCCTAGACTCAACCTCAGTTTTTTTAAATTACAGGGTGGGAAAACAATCCTGTCTAGGAGAGCACATGCATACCAATGACGTGAATCACTTTGTGCCTATACTATTAACACTTCAGTTCTTATTTAAAATTTTTTTTTGGTCTTAGACACAATACCTTTGTTTTGTTTATTCATTTTTATGTGGTGCTAAAGATCCAACCCAGTGCCTCACATTCTAGGCAGGTGCTCTACCACTGAGCCAAAACCCCAGCTTGTTTTTAGAAAACAAGCAATTGTTACTCTTGGCCCATATTTTCTTGAAGGAAGAAGATGTTGATATAAAGCCTGCAAAAAAAAGTGAAGCTCCATTTACTCATAAAGTGAATATGAAAGCAAGATTTGAACAAATGGCTAAAGCAAGGGAAGAAGAASAACAAAGAAGAATTGAAGAACAAAAGTTTCTACGAATGCAGTTTGAACAAAAAGAAATTGATGCAGCACTACAAAAGGTACTAGGCTTACATATTTTTTTAAAAAAATTTTTCTAAGGATGCTTTTAAATACCATAATTTTATGAAGAGGAATTTAAAGAATGTTTTAATAGCTTTCAAGTAATTGGAATATTGTGTACTTAATAATAAGTGTACATTATTTACTTAAACCTTCAAAATTCTACTATACCGCTGTTTTGAAAATACTGATATTATAAATGCCATCCTGAATGCATTTATTTTAATACAGAAAAGAGAAGAGGAGGAAGAGGAGGAGGGTAGCATCATGAATGGCTCCACGATTGAAGATGAAGAGCAAACCAGATCAGGAGCTCCATGGTTCAAGAAGCCTCTGAAAAACACCTCAGTTGTAGATAGTGAGCCAGTCAGATTTACTGTTAAAGTAACAGGAGAACCCAAACCAGAAATCACATGGTGGTTTGAAGGAGAAATACTGCAGGATGGGGAAGACTATCAATATATTGAAAGAGGAGAAACTTACTGCCTTTACTTACCAGAAACTTTCCCAGAGGATGGAGGAGAGTATATGTGTAAAGCAGTCAACAATAAAGGCTCTGCAGCTAGTACCTGTATTCTTACCATTGAAAGTAAGAATTAATCATCTTTTAATCTTTTTATTCTATTAAAAGTTTTTTCCTATTAAAAAAATTATTTTTCTTTTTCTCTTTTTTAGCTGATGACTACTAGGGTACCCTCTCAACTTGGAACTTTCTCTATCTACAACTTTCTTTCTTCCTACTTTCTGTGGCAGTGCCAAAAAGGATACCAGAAGTACCACTCTGTTGACTTCTTAATTCCTTTTCATAAGTCTTCAAAACACAAACTCTTATTACAGAATACTGTTTTTCAATTGAATATCAGATTTATCAACATATTCTACAATATGTATTTTAGCAGTCAATAAAATATATTTATGAGAGTGGGAAACTGATTCAATTATTCTATCAGAACTTAATTATAAGGGTGGTAGTATATTTCCCATATTCATAGCAGTTATGTTTTTAAAAAAGTAAACATTATTTTGCATGAAAGAATTATCTTTTRTGAGCTTTTATACCTAAAATTAGTCTGAAGTAGATTGAGACAACTAATTAGGAATCAATTTGAGTTAGTTTGTTTTCTTAGAGGAACAGAATTCTAAATGTTGTAGTTTTAGAGTCTTTCTGAAATAGAGGGGGAATAAGATCATTCTTTTCATGGAAAAGGGAGAACATGCAGAAAAACAAAAGTTTAAGTAAGAATTTATGGAAAACAGACACCAGACAAAACCTAATAAGAAACCACTATCTATACATTGTTCTGAGTGTTAGGGATACTTAAATATATTTTTCAAATGTGTGTAATATATAACCAAACCACTAAAGCAAATTTTATTATTATCTTGTCTGAACAAATTATGTTTTAATTAGAAAACATTTTCAACATAACTGTAGTTTTCAAGCTTTAAGAGGACTGAGTAGAAAGCCTTTAATTAAAAATACTAGTCTATTTATAAATAACTAGTTATGTTCTGTCATCAAGTTGTTTTTATATTTTAATTTTCTGGAAGACGGATTTATTTTACAATGTAAACCCATAATAAAGTAACTTGTATATTAAAGAAAAAAGTCTTTCCTTGGTTTAAAAATTCCTACAAGCAGATGTTTACCCTTATAATTAGAATTCTTAACCCACAATAATCCTTTAAGACAGTCAAGACAAAATTCTTTTTCCTGAGTATTAAATGCATAAAAGACACAAAGTACTCTCTTATAATTCAAAGTACATTTATTTATTTATTTTTATTGAGGAGACCAAAATGAATACAAAATTACAGCAAGCATACGTCCTTTTACATACAGTGTCATTAAAGCAAACTCTAAACCACAGTTTGTAAAGTATTCAATTTACCTCAAGTCCAAGCTGCATCTCCCTAAGACACTGTTCCCATCACAGTAGCCATTTTAAGCCAATCTTCTTTTTACACACGGGTAGTTTCTGTAGAGAACACTTTTCTCAGGACGAAAATGCATCGAGCATGCATAAGAAAAAATATATATATATATTCGCAAATACATTAAGAGTTTTCTTTAGGGGTATTACTGAAGAAAATAAAACTCTGGGATTTATTTGCTTTTTAAAAGCACCAATTTAGAAATCCCTCAAAAGTTTTATTGTGGTAAGAAAAATCAAGTGACTGTTCAAATAAAACGTAAGGTTATATTCAGAGTCAAATTATATTTAACTAGGTATTGTTAAAAAGCATTTTTAAATGAGGCAGAATTTGCAGAAAAAAAAGTAAAACATCCTCTTTGATTAGTAAACTCTACTATATTATTCTAGACAACAGATAACTTTTTAGGTAGAAGATTCTACTGGCAGAGCATCCAAACAAATACTGTTACTTAGTAATATACTCCTATTTCTAAGTTACTGTGCTACACCTAACCAAACCTGCCATTATGAATAAACTACAAAGATATTTGTTTAAGGATACGTTTTACAATGTTAATAAACAACTAGTATCAAATTACTAGTCTTAGTATTAAACTATTTTCATTAGTTAAAAAACTATAYTTATTTCTAAACAAAACAAAAAAAACAAAAAACATCAAACTATAGAATTCTAAGTATCACCACACTAAGATGTTTTAAAAACACATTGTCAAGTTGCTAATCAAATCAATCAGTTAAATTTCAATCTAAACATTTTTTTTCCCTACCACCACTAAGATCTATTATCATTTCAAACCATCTGGCTCACCTTTTCTGCTTTCCCTTTATTTCAAAATTATGGAAAGGTTAGCGCCATTTTAAAAAATTGCTTATCAAGAAGGCTTATGAACTAAAAAATTCTCATGAGATAGCAACAATGCCACAATATCTATTAGCATTCATCTACATTTTCTTTTATAAAAATGCAAACTACAACTAACCAAAACTTGACAGGCTCAAGAGCCCCTTTATATTATCAAATTTTAACATAACTAGCATTGACTATCAAAMACACATAAGCATAAATGTGGTGCAGTAACTTAAGAAATTTAACAGTTCATGGAACATTTAAGATCAAGTGAATAGCACTTTAAAATGAAAAGTGATCAAAAGCAGGTACATTACACCCTATACCATATTATGTATGGGAATACATTTCATATTTCTCAATTATGATTTGCCAATTTTACCTTCTACATTGAGCCCTTCTATGGTCCATGCTCATCGGCTCACCAATGGCATACACTCAAAGGATTCCTCTTTATGGGTAACTATCTCAGGACCTGATTTTATGAGCTATGATTTGGTGCTTGCAGCATCTTCAGCACTGTGTGTGAAAATGAAGGCAGTATTTTTGAATATTTTTCTTTGATGTAGAGATAAGCAGGAGTTTTAAAAGGATCAGCACATTTTAGAAATTGAATAAACAAAACTGGTATGATGCTGCTTTAATACAATCATCTTAACTCAAAATTATGTACCAGTTAAAATCATCTATAAGAACACACAAACACTTAAAACTGGCAAAAATAAAATAAATGCAGCGTCAGTTATTAAAATATTATAAGTCAGAAAAATATTGGTTGCTACACAGATTATGAAAGGTTATTTGCTATACAGTTAACATTTCACTGATGCACATGCCTTTTATCAAAACATACTGCCAGTATTTCATAATTTTTTCTTTTCAGCATTTATGTTATGAAAACAGACTTGTCTAAGAAAAAAAAGATAATAAAAACTGTCCCATAATGTTCTTACTGAATTATTATAGTTCAAGAATAAGAAAAAAGAAAATAAATAAACCATAGCTTTGGAGGGCAAAGAAAATGTCGTGTCAATCATAAACAGACTGTGAAGGCTGTTGAAGTTTCTGACCAACCGATTTCCTAAATTTTGAAAACTATGCAACTGTCCTTTCTTAACTGCAACAATTTTATATTTGGGGGAAAAAATGCAAAAGATGTGCATGTAGATCAGTTATAGCAGCAATCTACATTATTTTCGTTTTAATAAAAAAATYAAAATGAAAAACATAACCCAGAAATGTACAGTTGCTTGAACAACTTAACAGACTTTCCACTAAAATGGTAGCATAACAAAATACATTTTGGGGTAGCAGCAGCAGATTGCTTTTGAGTACACAACCACAAAAACCTCACAGGGACAACATTAATGTACTGAAATATTTATTTATATATGTCCTTAGGTTGTGCTTACCTGTGCTTTTTGCAGCAGAACCTAAGGTGGAAGGTCTGGGAAGGCACTGTGAAGTATAAATAATTGCACTGTTTGCAATTAATAAAGATTTTAAACCTTAAATGAATCAAAATCAACAGCCTCCAATTTGTGAGTTATGATACTGAATCCAACTGAACTAKTTCTTCAGTTTTAATTAATAAATGCACCACTTTCCTAAAAGATCATCTACACAACAGAATCATGCAAAATACTCAAATTTTCATGTCAATACCCTAATCTTAAAGATAACAGATAACTAACTCCTTAACTATTAAACTTCAAACTAGTTCTACACATCCATATCTAAATAAGGGTAAGGGAAATCACTCTAGGTTATATAAAACAATCAAAAACATTTCAAAATATCTAAAATGAACTGTACTGCTATTTTCCCCTACAGGTAATCTCAACATTTTGTTCTTGCACATCTTCCTTTACAGTATATTCAAAACAAATGGTGCTCCCCACCAATGACAGAAAATATATTTATGGTGTTAAAAGTGCTACATTGCTTATTATTTGCAAGCTGAAAACCACTTCTGTCTTACACATTTCAAGTTTTTTATATTAATATACGATATGCATTTTAACCAAAAAACAATATTTTAGGAGCACCAATAATACTGTTCAATTTTGTTAATGATCAAGTTTTCTTTAGCTATAGCTAAAGCATATCAAAAATACTTACCCATTAAGCTCACTTAGAAAAAAAAAAAAACAGAACTATGTATTATTCTATGTTAAGCAATTATAGTTTTCCAAGATATTAGCACTGTATTCCAACATAATATTCACACAAAATATGGCATTTGCATTATGTGGAACATTGACAAAAAGATACTGTTGCAGTTCATCAATTTGTCATTCTGATGTACTTACAGTGCAATGCTCCTTGAAGGAACACAATCAAGGATGATACACAGCACAGTCCTCCTCACCCCTACAGAGCTAGTTCTATACTGGCTGGATCAAACCTGCACTTCAACAGACAATGGCAAGACAGACTGTATTTGCATGTAGTCTATAAATATGCAAAGAGCCAACAAATATGCAAAGAGTAAAACAATGGATTTCAACAAAATATCAGAACTTCAGCATGAGTGTTAAAGAGTAATAAAATGATTTCAAGTACATAAAAAAATTAAGTTGATTCAATGATTGGACTTGTGCATTTACAAAACAAAGCTTATCTATACTGCAAAAATAAAAAAAGAGAAAAAAGAAAAAAACTTGAACGTTTCCATACCCCAATTATGTTTCAATGGCAGATGCAATGTAGCTATACTTTTTGCATACTATTCGCTTTTCTACCCTAAATTTAGAAAGAAACACACTAATATTATATACATTGAAAGAGTTACTTTACATGAAAAAAAAGTCATTATACTACTCAAATTCACTATCTGAAAACTGTTTAAAATTAGTTATGCTGAAACAGTCTTGGAAATCAAGTAAATATCAAATTAAGAACAGAAAGGTTAACTGTTATAGCAGCAGTACAGGTCTGAAACAGTGGTCATGTATAAAAGGAAATTTTACTGTTAATGCAATGGAAGTATGCCAAAAGATCATTGTACACACATGCAGTTTTTAATCAAACAGAAGGGAAAAAAATGAAGATATCAGGATTACTTGTGCTGAAATAGCCAAATACAATAAATGGAAAAGTCTCCAATCTACCACTATACTGCAACGGGGAAAAAACATGCCAGTGTTTAAAAACTCAATAATTCACGGGGAAAGCTTACATATTTGTGTATATGTATCTTATCATTGCTAAGAAATTACGAATTCTTTAAATACCCACATATCCAACTTACCGACACAGGAGGTTTCATATCATTTATTGTAAAGCACAAAACAGGCATTTTTAAAAGTGAAAGTATACATTGAAAAAGTACATTTATATCACAAAGCATCGACCACATAATAGTTGCAAATACATTTGCTGGAATGTGTACATCTACACTAAACACTAAAAACAAACCAATTTTCATTTCTACACAGAAATATTAACCTCCTATCAGTAGTGATAGATATTTTGTACATTTTCAAAAAAAAAAAAAAAAGAAAAAAAAGGGAAAAAAACTACTTTAAACCAAAAACAAAATTAAGATCTTCATCAAGTCGTCTGCATCCATATATTTAACAAAGGTTTTTTTCCCCCACACAATGAAGCAAATACTGTATTGTCCACTTCTTATTATTGGCCCTGTGCAGAAGAGATACATAAGAAATACACAAAAAGTTAAAGAAAATCCTTTAAATGGAGCTAATTCAGGAGTGAATCCTTTAAGAAAGAAAAACTGGTTAATATAAATGGTGGTGGCTTCTTGCATGATTTGCAAATCCCTGGGGGGAAGAAAATTTATTTTTAAATCAAAGGCATTGTAGAAATATTCAGCACTCGGATGCCAGAAAGAATTATTTAAAATAAAAAACAACAAACCCCCAAAACAAAACACCAAATACACAACATTTCACTTATAGTCTGCCAGATGAAAATAAAAAAGATAAACAATCCCAAACAGACAAAACAGTAAACATGCAGAAAACATGACTGGAAAGGGGGGGGGGGGAATCAACAAATTAGTATATTTATTTATTATACCTGAGGTGCTGGAGGATGCTGTGGCATTCCCTGGGGACTTGTCTGGGCATAATAAGCTGCTTGTTGTCTATAGTACTCAGCCCAGGCCGCACTGTAATCTGGTTGACCACCTGGTGGAGCCCCAGTAGGAGCAGGAACTGCTTGACCTTTAAGAAAACAGAACAACGTTGTTGCTGCAACCATAATTAAAAGCCCAGAAGAATCTCATTTCTAATAAAAACAATACCTTGCTTCTTGTAATATTCCTCCCAAGCCTTTGAATAATCTTGTGTCTGCCCTTGTTGACCTAAAAAAAACCCCCTATATTTTAATATAAAATTATATCCACTGTAAGTACAGGTTATAATGACAAAGAAGAGGGTCAGAATTCTGCCTGTTTATCTTAAATATTCATTAGTGTTGAAACTACCCTGAAAAAAAAAAAAACCCTCTTTTCTTAGACTTATGTTAATCATGGATTTTTTAGAAGGCATCACTATTAATTAAAAACAAATACTTGCCAAAATCCACATAGCCTTAAGTAAAGGTAAAAATTCAGGCATAATACTTGAATCAATTCCAGTTAAACTGTTACTGTTCCAAATAAGTTTCAAAAGTACTTCAAGTTAAGTAGTCTGTAAACCTTTGGATGGTGCCCTGGTAGTGRTGGCAAACAGAGGGTAAAAGAAGAGAGAAAATTCTCTATTTTTTTGGTTGTTTATCTRTTTGGATTCATCTGTTCTTGAAATTTAAGCCCTCAACAGAGAATTTCAAAAAATATTTATAAAAAACACTTAAAGGCCATGACAGACTCAATGTTTAAATTACAACAAAATATTATTAAAAGTAACTTGGCAAATAACACAAAAAATTAGATCAASGAAACCCAATACTCATGAGGAGCAGATCTTTCTTTAGGCAAGATGACTTTTCKGAATTATAAGATTAAAGAGACACTGAATGGGCTCTGAAAATATAAAAGATTTTCTGAATAAATATATTGTGCATGATAAGGACACTGCTGAGTATATTTGGAGGAAAAATTATCTGCAACTTACTTTGTAATTGTCCATGTACAAAAAACATTAAATACAAAGGGATATGAATCAATTTTTAAAAATGGTGAAACTKGGTATTTGCTGTACCCCCCCTCAATTTTCTGAAAGTGGGAAATTTTCAAAATAGAAAACACAGCTGGGCAGTGGTGTGTGCCTGTAATCCCAGCTACTTGGGAGGCTGAGGCAGGAGGATCACAGGAGGTCAGCCTGGGAAACTTAGCAAGGTCCTGTCTCAGAAAACAAAGGGCTGGGGATATAGCTCAGTAGTGGAAAACCTGCTTAGCATCTAGGCTACACACACACACATACACAGGCAGCAAAGAGAAACAAGGACATGTTTTCTTAATCATAGCTCCTACACATGAACACTTGGTTCTACTACATAATTACATAGAAAAAATACTGGAGCATTACATAGGAAGCTATTTTTATATTTGCTGGATGTTTCCAAAAAGGCAACTTTATATAGTTTAAGAAAGTASTAGCCTCCATTATAAAATTGTAACAGAATTAAAAAGCCACTGAATGAATAAAATTTTAAGTTATAACCATTAACCTTAAAAATGAATAAAAAACCCCTTTCTTTGGGCAACAGAGAAAAATTTATTACAAAAAAATTCTCATATTTCTTTTTCTTCCATAAATAACTTTTTCCAAGTGAGTTTAACATTTTGACCTTTACAAACAAGTTTCAATATTTGCAAAACAAATACCAGGTAGTAAAGGCAATAAAAACACATCTCTTTCATCCTTGGAAACAAACCTTGTTAAGACAGCAATAATTCCCACTTACAAGTTTACAAAATGAACAAAACTTCATTGTAAGATATGCTTAGGTTAAAGGATATATAACAAGAGGCTTGCTTGCTTATTTATTTATGGTGCTGGGGATTGAACCCAGGGCCTTAGTGCATGTGAGGCAAGCACTCTACCAACTGAGCTATATCCCTAGTTCATAACAAGATGTTAAACAGACATGTGAAGAAAAAACTCATTAGACTCAAATATTCCCTAAAACCCCCCCAAACCCAAGTATCTGATGAAAAACTAGAAGTAAGGTGTTAGACTCAAAGAAAAATACTTGTTAAGTAAGTTGTCAACATTTTACATTTCAATCTGAAAAATGTTAAAAAAAAAAAACTATTTGGGCTGGGGTTGTGGCTCAGTGGTAGAGTACTTGCCTAGCACATGTGAGGCATTGCTTTTGATCCTCAGCACCACGTAAAAATAAAGAAAATAAAATGTATTGTGTCCATCTACAACTAAAAGGAAAGAAAAACTCATTTCACCTTTCCTGCCCAAAGGCCAAATGTTACTCATTTTGCCAAGTTAAGAAGACAAACTCTTCCTATTTAATGTACTTAAGACTTGGCTCTCTACCTCCAGTACTTCYGTTTCTTTTTATGGGTAACAACTTTCTACTATAGTCTAAGAATCACCCTTCCTTGAACAGTGTGTAGCACTCAATTATTTCTCCATATATCCTCCCACAATTCCTCTTGCTCCTTCTTCAGGCTTATGATACCAGATGGCTAGTGTTCTGAGTCCATCATATCAGTGCTTAACATCAGAAGGGCTTTTCTATTTTTTAAAAAAATATTTAGTTAGTTGTAGATGAACACACAGTATATTTATTTTTATGTGGTGCTGAGGATTGAATCCAGTGCCTCAAACATAYGAGACAAGCACTTTGCCACTGAGTTATAGCCTCAGTCCCAGAAGGGCCTTTCTTAAGTCAAACTTTTCCCAAAATGACTTCACTTACTCTGCTCCAAAACAGAAATTCTCTCTCTAGTTTGAAACCTTATTTGTTCTCTTATGGAGTTTTTGCTAATTAGTTAAACCTTTTAACTCTCTAGAGTCTCATTTTTAAGAATTTAATCACCTGAGTTTCTTTGGGGGAAAAAACTCCAATGTCATAGCCTCCCTAGTTTGGTAAAGAGTACTGGATGGGAAATCAAGGGAACTAGGAAATCTGAAGTCTTGGAAAATCTAGACCAACTGAAGGGTTAACAAGGAAGTGGGTTGTGAGTAAAGATTATCTCCCAATATTATCATTCCTTTTCCTCCTGCCATTTATGATACTTGATGACTGAACTATATTTAAGTCTCTCATTTGTAGATACCCTAAAAAAAAAGCCTGAGGATTATACCTAGAAGAAATCAGAGTAGTTAAGCAAAGGTCATTTACAAAAAAAACTGTTATAGGAAAAATAAATTGACATCCCTATCATATAATAAAACATGTTCATTAAACACGACTAAATTATCTAGTCTTAATTTCTTTAAAAAGTACATTAAATGGGCGAAGTGTTACACACAGTGGCTTGGGAGGCTGAGTTTAAGGTTGGCCTGAGCAGCTCAGAGAGTTAGGGCCTCTAAGTAACTCAGTGTAACCTTGTCTCTAAATAAGACATATGGCTCAGTGACTTAAGTGCCTGTGGTTCAATCCTGGGTACAAAAAAAAAAAAAAAAAAGGTGGGGAGACACATATGAAGGGGCTGAGGGATGTGGCTCAGTATTACAGCCCAACCTGGATTCAATCCCTAACACCATCCATAACAATTACATGAGAGGCAAATGCCCAGTCTATACAATCTAACATAATATCTATAGAACGATGATTTTAAAAAAAGGCTGGCAGGGAAATAGTAGTAAATGAAAAATTACAACAAAGGCAAGTTAAAATGCCTACACTTTTATAGTAATAATCAGAAATCAAGGTACTCACTTTGGGCATGTAAAATATAAAATAACAGAAAACTTTTTAGTGGTTGTGTTGCCAAGAAGCAGTAGGATATAATAAAGAACAGAAGCCAAACCCATCCCCTAGTAATTACCAAGTCATTAAAAGGTCTTTGTTTTTACCCACTTGGTAACAATATAGGAACATGTCTGGCATGGTGTGAAAAAAGAAGTTTGAACTAATGTACTTTAACCTCAACATGCTTAATTCTTTAACATTGTAAAGTTATTACATTAAATTTAAGGTGGATATAGGTCCTAACCACTGTGTTGCCAGGGCATGATTATTCACAGCATGCCCGTTCACATAATAAATTATGTGGTCACACTAAGAAGAGTATATTATTTAGGATTAAAGGTAAACAACTTCTTAATGCAGTTGCTATAGATGTGTCTAAGCTAAGCTAGGTCACAAAAACAAAATTAATAAATCTGAGAAATCCTTAGGAATGACACACAGCATGACACTCTTTTCAAGGTCATTCTAACTGGAAAAATTAATCTTCCTTAAACAGCAATCAGCCAAGCCTGGTGGCCTACATCTTTAATCCCACTGACTTTGGGGCTGAAGCAAACAGAGGACTGTAAATTTGAGGTTAATTGGCAATATACTGAGACCCTGCCTCAAAAACAAAAAAANTTAACATCAGAAGGGCTTTTCTATTTTTTAAAAAAATATTTAGTTAGTTGTAGATGAACACACAGTATATTTATTTTTATGTGGTGCTGAGGATTGAATCCAGTGCCTCAAACATAYGAGACAAGCACTTTGCCACTGAGTTATAGCCTCAGTCCCAGAAGGGCCTTTCTTAAGTCAAACTTTTCCCAAAATGACTTCACTTACTCTGCTCCAAAACAGAAATTCTCTCTCTAGTTTGAAACCTTATTTGTTCTCTTATGGAGTTTTTGCTAATTAGTTAAACCTTTTAACTCTCTAGAATCTCATTTTTAAGAATTTAATCACCCGAGTTTCTTTGGGGGAAAAAACTCCAATGTCATAGCCTCCCTAGTTTGGTAAAGAGTACTGGATGGGAAATCAAGGGAACTAGGAAATCTGAAGTCTTGGAAAATCTAGACCAACTGAAGGGTTAACAAGGAAGTGGGTTGTGAGTAAAGATTATCTCCCAATATTATCATTCCTTTTCCTCCTGCCATTTATGATACTTGATGACTGAACTATATTTAAGTCTCTCATTTGTAGATACCCTAAAAAAAAAGCCTGAGGATTATACCTAGAAGAAATCAGAGTAGTTAAGCAAAGGTCATTTACAAAAAAAACTGTTATAGGAAAAATAAATTGACATCCCTATCATATAATAAAACATGTTCATTAAACACGACTAAATTATCTAGTCTTAATTTCTTTAAAAAGTACATTAAATGGGCGAAGTGTTACACACAGTGGCTTGGGAGGCTGAGTTTAAGGTTGGCCTGAGCAGCTCAGAGAGTTAGGGCCTCTAAGTAACTCAGTGTAACCTTGTCTCTAAATAAGACATATGGCTCA